GCTGTCCATTTACAGCTGAAAAAATATTTTGCTGATTACGGGCAGAATAGATATGGGGGTATAGTTGCCGACATCCAGAGCAGATTCCTTTTTATATACTGGTGTGATTGTGGCGAGTTTGAGAGAGGCAGGAAAAATACATTGAGCTATAGAACAGTTAAGAATGCGCGCTGAGGGTTTAGAAATATACTTTGCATCATAAATTCCACGTTTAGGGTGCACGTGATCATATCCCATTGCCTTGTTGGGGTCTAATCGATAAATACATTTCATAATAACTCGTTCTGTGACTGCTTAGAAGAAAAAGGACGACGGAAAATTGTAATTTACTTTATTTTATAATATTTTCACTAAACTAATTTGCTATATAATTTGTAAAGTATTTCGGTTGATTAGTGCCCATTAAGACTTTCTAAAACGGGTTTTGTTAATGTCCATTTTCCATCTCCAACATTTTCTCAGAAATGCTGCAGCAGATATCGATGAAACTTGGCAGGTTGATGAACAAGTCTTTGCCGAGTATGCATGTACTTTTTTACTGCACTGCCAGAGCAACTGAGCATGCTCAGAATAAATAATTAGCATAGATTGTAATGCTCAGGTTTTTAGGGATATCATAACCTTGATCTGAATCAGTGACATATGGGTCGTACCATTACCAATCTCAGTGGAAAATGTTTTAGGGGTGCCAGGACTACATTTTGATGGGAATTATAGTGGTGATAATGAAACAAATCACGGTCCTGGTAGTATACAAAGACCTGAATTAACAAAAAAAGCAAATTGTTGTTAAAGGTATATTTATGAATGCAGTTTCTTGAGCATGTATGTGTGTATGTATGTGTACTCTGAGATTTTGGACCCGGGTCAATGAAAGTAGAATACATAATAATTCAATTGTTTGCAGATGTTCCATGCATTATTTTACATGAGTATTTTATAATTAAATAACAGGGAATGTGACATTCATGTATCGTTTCATTGGATTTTTTCTTTCACTATGCACAGGCACACTAAAACTCCTAGAAGTGTTAGCATTTTAAAACACCCCCTTACAGATGCAATTAATTCATAAATTCACTAATATGCATCACATACGAGGTAAACCAGTATCGATAGTAGAGAAAGAGAGCGGAGGGAAGGAATTGTGGGCTATAGGATCACGTGAGTAATTTTGTATACCATCTATTCTATCATACTTCACATCATTTAGCTACAACAAAATCACACACATAGTACAGTATAAAGTACTTTATTTCCGTTAGAAACACGTGTAGAATCGGCTCTACTGTTTTGGGCTGAACACAGAGTGGAGTGCGAAGATGATAAAGGTGCGCCACTGATGAACTTTACCAGGCCCTTATAGTAAGTCAAACCAGTAAGATTTTACAGTGCCCTCAAGATAGAAAGGGTGCCAGGGTTTAGTTCAACAAAACAGATACTCCTTTTCATTTAGGTAGTTTTTCTTTCTTCTGAACATTGGCATATAACCAGGTAAAGAATACTCGCCCACACTATTACTCAAGACTGAATGTGTATCGTTGTCTAACTTTACTGTATTCATATTGTTAGTTGTATTGCTTATCGGCTAAGTCATATCGAAAATCGAGCCTTTTGTCGGGTATGAATTAAAATAGATTAAAGTAGACAAAGCTATTAATAATTCTGCAATGCCTCCTGTTTTCCGCAAAACAAATACCCAAATGGTAACGAATATAGAGAGCATATCACGGCAGATCAGAACAATAACAAATGTTTGCAAAGTCGTTGCTTGAAATTATCATTGCAACGGCTGGGCAAGTCAGACCTTTCACCTGTGCAGCCTTGGCCAAGATACAACACCTGGTGTTTACGACGTTTCTACGACAGAGTTGAACTATTGAGAAGGTTGGCCCAAGAAATGTTTTTTTTTTTCTACGACCGAAATAATTATGGATTCCGGTGGTCGGAATGGTAATTTTTTTATTTAATAATGTGCATTTCCACTTTGTTTTACTTATGTGATGCAACTAATTACGTTTATTGTGTTTCTTTCGTGGTATAAGTCAGGAACACTCACAGATGTGTTTGGGAGAAGTCTTGTAAATTGCATGTTAGCGCTGTCATGCAGTTTGCTCTCGACTAAAATCAAAATTGTAGATTCATTATGCAATAAACGCGATTTGCAATTTATGATAGGTATGATAATCTCACTATAATGTACCCCTGTTACAAAATACTATGCCGTTCTATTTCATGCAGTTAATTTGAATTAAATTCATATTAAAATCAATTAAAACGCAACTATTGCAATTTACTTAAATTTTAATTACACTTCAATCCAACATAGGATTTTCAATTTAATTTCAAATCGAAAATCAGAAATTATTACTGATAAATCGTAAATTTTGTCAATAGTAGTTTGCTTTCGGGTCATTTTTTTTGGCTAAACAGGAAGCATATTTCTGATTTGAAGATGTACGCAATAGTTGATTGTTTGTCTGCCATTTGTTTTGTATTCTTGGATATGTAAATTTTATTTGGCTATGGATTGTGACTTCGTTAAGGTATTCTTTTTTTTTCATATTGATAAGTTGCGTCGACAGTATGCTGCAACAGTGATAACAGAATAGGATGACCGAGCTCAATAGCCATTTTAAATGTGTCAGCTTGTACCGTTTCAAACCGGCTATTTAATAAAACAATTGTTTTTGTCATAATAAAGAACATTGCTGTTATGAATTGGGCATTAACATATATCTGAAATGTACTATATTTCAAATAATAACAATAGAAAGATCTTTTGTACAATTACATTATTTTGCGAAGGATGGATAAAATTGTATGTTGTATTGGAGATTTATATGAAAAAGTTGTACAAAGTCGTTATTTGAAGTTGAAATATATTGAATAGTTGACCAAATAAGCTAAATATCCCTTGTAGATGTCTGTGATAACGTTTATTAGAATATAAATATATATTCAATTCAACCTGGTCACATTGTCACACCTAAATTTAATGTTATGTTCACAATAGTTGTGTTCACGTTACACGAAGTACGGGCTAAGATTTAAGCTGATTTAGGCTTATCTAGCATATTTGCATTTCGGCTAGACCCAATTGCGTCCACGCACAGGGAGGGCCAGTCGTTAGCACGGGCTAAGGGCTGCCATTAGTCGGTGACCTTTGGTAAGCCGCTATTTACGAACGAAAAATGGATGACACGCGCGAGGTTCTATTTC